GTCTCCTCCAGAGACCTCGCTTCCCAGCACGCCACCTGGCTCTTCTGACCGTGCCGCTCATCCAAGAAGGGGAACAGGGAAATCTAACATGCTGTCTTCAGTTGCCATCACACTGGATACCTGGAGCCTGGAAACGTGATGACATTTGCGAAGGCATGTGTCCCTGGCTTTAGGGAATGACATGATAGTGTGCATAAGCAAGGACCGTAGGTGAGGTTTGGTTCAGTCATCACGAAATGCGGTGTCACATTACGGTTCAGAACACAGACTGGAGCCACATAGCCAGAAGGCTAGCTGGTGAGCTCGGACGGTGACCACATATCTCATCCAACAGTTTCCTTGTCTGTAAAGTGAGAAAGTCAATGGCACCTGCCATTTGGGGTTGCTCTGCTCGTTCAATGAGCTAGTCTAGGTGTGTGCTCCGGGCGGCACCTGGCACATAGTAAGGACCCAATTCATGTTAGCTCTTTTTATTTTGATCTGAAGCCTTCGTTAAATATTTTATTAAAAGTAAGTTTTCAGGATATGCCGTGGCTTCCGGCATCGAAGAGCTATTTGTTAAGCGTCTTCTGAGTGCAGAACTAGTCCCAGAAGAAGGAGTTTCGAAGCTGAAGTCAGCCACAGTGATGAGCAGTCCAACCCCAGATGTGCGGCACTGTCTGGCCATTGAAACAACCAGAGCATCTGAGGAGACCAAAAGGAGCAGGAGAGATCCCCGAACCCAGAGGCTTCTTAGGGCAACGGGGTGGTTCAGAGTGGGCTGGTGGCCAGGAGGGGATGGAGGCAGGACGCTGGAGGCAGATGGTGGGTTGTGAGGAGGAGGAGGAGCTCCACAAGGATGATGGAGGGATGGGGGAATCCGCTCTGAACAGGAGGTGGGAGAAGAGCTAAGGAGAGAGGGATTGCTTGAGAGCCCTGAGGGCACCCAGGGGGGACCCCTCCACTTTGTCCAGCTCCATGTCAGGGGAGGGAGAGGGCTCCGGACGTGCCAGCGAAGGCTCCCCGCACAGGCAGGACGGGCGCGGGCCCGCTGCCCCGCACTGGGAGAGCACAGGCCCCTCTGTGTGCCCAGGAGCCCCGGCCGGGCCTCCTCTCCTTGGAGGGCCCCACAAAGACTTGCTTGTTCTCCCCTGACATCAGACCTCACCCGCAGGACTTCTCTGTTCTTCTGGGGCAAGATCACACACAGTGATAGTGGCCTGAAAGGGAAGACTGGCTCAGGCGTCGCCATGCCAACCCACTCCCCGGCAGAGGGCAGGAAGATGGTGCCCACCACATGAGCCTGTGCACCTTGCAGGTCCTGCTGGGCACAGAGCCGAGCGCCGAGCGCCTGGTCCCAGCCCTGTGGGAGCTGCTGGTAGCGGTTCTGAGAGACGCCAGCTGCGTGGTCAGGAATGGGCAAAATATCAGAGGGCCAAATTAATGATCGCGGCACACAATGAGCTGATTGTGTTCTGGTTGATTTTCTTTCTTTCTTTTTTTTTTTTTTTTCTCTTAAGTAAGCAAGTGTTTCATTTAAACACCTGGGGTTTCTATTTTAACAGAGACTGATGTAGAGAGTTTTGCCTTCGAAATTTCATAAAAACTTACTGTTTCGGGGCCCCTGGGTGGCTCAGTCAGTTAAGCATCCGACTCTTGATTTCGGCTCAGGTTAGGATCTCAGGGTTCTGGGATCAAGCCCTGCCTCGGGCTCTACGCTCAGCGGGGAGTCTGCTTCAGAGTCTCTCTCTCCCTCTCCTTCTGCTCCTCCCCTGCTTGTGCTCTCTCTCTCTCTCTCAAATAAATAAATCAATACTTTTTTAAAAAAGAAAAAGAAAAGCTACTCTTTAGAGGAATCTGTGAGATCGGCTGGTCTAGCCTCTGTCTGATCTTTTTTTTCAAGTGAGTTGACTGAGGCTGGGGGAGTAGGAGGCAGTGTGAACAATGAGAAGAGTAAAGCCTCCCCAGCCTCCCGTCCTGGGCTCTCAGATCGGGATCCTGTGTATGAAGCACTTAGCACAAGACCTGGCCCACAGCGGGGCTCAGAGAAAGCTATCCCTGATTATTTTGTGAACTTCCATGTGTGCCAAGTGGGATCAATAAATGAAACACTCATAAAACAAAATACATGTTAATCCAGTACAGGAGAAGCTCCTGATTCCCTTCGTCCTAAAACAGCCAGTTACTTTTGAGCTACAGGAGAGAAAGGAGACTTGACATTGGAACTTCCAATCCTTAGTCTAGTGCAGGGCTTCTCAAACATATGGCCAAGGCCACGGGCTAGTCTGGAAAGGTAAGCTGGTGTCTCCACGGTCTCTCCATGGTGCTTCCCACACTCCGCTGGGCACCACAGGACCTGAGCTTATTTCTTTTAGCTGGGTTCTCAACTGGTGCAAACCACATAGCAGCCTCAGACCTCGTATTGGAATAAAAGTTTGCCATCTTCAAGTAGGGCTAAGATGCAACCTCAACACTACTTGAGCCGTCTGTTGAGGCTGCAAGCCCCAGAACTGTTGGAGAGCAGAGCTTTCAAACATAGTCATTTGTGGCCACGGCCACCAGCCTGGGAACCCCAACTGCAGGGTAAAGTTGAAATCAGGATAGTGCGTGGTTGAGTCATCAAGAGCAGGGCTGGCCTTTAACATAAATTTCGAGATAAACTCGGCGAGTTTGTTTGTTTGGTTTAATTGTGGTCTTGGTGGATCAATCCAAACAGGGAAGTCCCATGGTGACTTTGCTGGGTTCTCTGTGTATTGTAGATTTCCTGCAGGAGCATCCTCTCTCTCAAGAGCAACATTGTACATCTGTGTAGAAATAGCCTCCCTATAAGCACCGGGGCAGGGTGGGGTGGGGTGCAGTCACTAATGGAGGATCTCCCACTATCCTAATTTACACTTCCGGAGTATTTTCCAGGTGGGCCAAAGTAAACTATAGAAACTCATTTTGATAAGCTTGGGATAGAATTTCAGCCTCCCTCCCCCCCATTTTTTCTTTCTCTTCCACTCCAACTGAAGTCAAGATGATTCAGTCACAAGCTATGTTTCCCTTGGTGGCAAACTCGACTTAAGAAATTAGTGAGAGCAGCTGGGGAGGAGGCTTACTTACCCAAATGGTTGAATCTATTCATTTTTTTCCCCCGATTGCCATGGCTTCACTCTTGGCAGCCTGGTTAAGACCAGTGCTTTTGAAATGACCTTGATCAGGAATTAAGTGAATTAGGGTGTTAAGTAAGCGTTGGGTACTACAGCTGTGAATCTGAACACTGTTTACTACGAAGAGGAATAACGTTTAGAAAATATCCAGGACTTTGAAATCGATCCCGCTTCTTTGTCCTTTTTACAAACTTCTGCGTTTGTACTAAGGCCTTATTACCCTGACCTGGTCTGGCAATTTTAACGTGAGGCGATAATGCCTCTTAGTGGAGAGCCTACTTCACTGCAAGCCCTTGTATTTGACCAAAGAAAAACTGGGTTTTGGCAGAAAGACATCACTTTCACAATTCTTAAAACTAAACAAGGTACCTGCTTTTGAAGGTCATCATGAGAATCAAATGAGATAATTTGTAGGCAGCGCTTAAGACAGCACGGAGCCCAGGACTGCCAGTGGCCGTGACCGTGGTCATCTGACAACGAGGATTTGGGGAAGCAGGGGATGACTGAAGTCGTCTTTGGAGTCCCCAGGATTTCAGTTTCAGGGCCTCTGTGTTGGCTGTGATATGTGGTAGGAAAGGTGACCAAAGCCGCACATCCTCACCTAAGACAGGACTCCCTTCCCGCCGGCCCACCTGCCTGGAGGCAGAGGCTGCAAGACCCACTTCCAAAAGCGCACCCATGGTTCAGCCTTACGTATTCTCACCGTGCAGGAAATTTGATTAAAAAAAAAAAAGGCATCCACGGGGCGCCTGGGTGGCCCAGTTTGTTAGTGCCTGACTGTTGATTTAGGCTCAGGTCACGATCTCAGGGTCCTGAGGTCCAACCCATGTGAGGCTCCACCCTCACTCAGCAGGGAGTTTGCTTAAGATTCTCTCCTTCCCCCTCTGCCCCTCCCTCAGCTCTCTCTCTCTCTCTCTAAAAATAAATAAATAAAATATTTAAAAAACAAAGAGGCATCCACAAGTGGGAATTCATGGACCTGAGACATGGTATTTGGTCATGCCTGTCCTTGACCTTGGGCTTCTCCCAGCTCAGCCTCCGAAGCTGATTGGCGGGGCCAAAGGCGGGGCCAGTCACAGGCTTCTCTTTGTGAGGAGTTGCTGGCCATCTCCAAGCCGGTGAGGCCGGCTGTTCTCAGAGCCTGCTGCCTGTCTTCAGTTCACTTGTGCATCCCTGAGGCTGTAGCTGGCCTTTCAGATGACTCAAATTTTCTTTCAATTTTCAAGCATAGCGTGAGATCCCTGTCTGCTTCTTCATATGCCAGAAACTACTTATATCTTTATTAAACTAGGTGAAAGGGGGAAAAAACATTTCCTCCCTCCATCTTTCCTTTGCTCCTTCCTCCCTCCCTCCCTCCCTCCCTTCTTGGGGCGCCTGGGTGGCTCATGGGGCGCCTGGGTGGCTCAGTTGGTTAAGCGGCTGCCTTCGGCTCAGGTCATTAATCCCAGGGTCCTGGGATCGAGTCCCGCATCGGGCTCCCTGCTCAGCGGGGAGCCTGCTTCTCCCTCTCCCTCTGCCTGCCTCTCTGCCTACTTGTTCTCTCTCTGTATCTCTCTGCCAAATAAATAAACAAAATCTTAAATAAAATAAAATAAAATAAAATAAAATAAAATAAAATAAAATAAAATAAAATAAAA